ATTTTTTTAAATTTTATTTTTAAGTAATCTCTACAAACAACATGGGGCTCGAACTTACAACCCTGAGATCAAGAGTCACATGCTCTACCTACTGAGCCAGCCAGGCATCCCCCTAATTTTTTTTTTTTTTAAAGATTTTATTTATTTATTCATGAGAGACAGAGAGGCAGAGGGAGAAGCAGGCTCCCAAGGAGCAGGGAGCCCGATGCGGCACTCGATCCCAGGACCCTGGGATCATGACCTGAGCTGAAGGCAGACGCTCAACCATCTGAGCCACCCAGGCTCCCCCCCCTAATTATTTTTTGATCTAGAGGTGTGTTACTCATTTTCCAAACATTTGAGGATTTTCCAAGGATCTTTCTGTTACTGGTTTCTTTTTTCTTCCTCTTTTTTTGAGAGAGAGAGAGAGAGAGACTGATGGTGGGGACGGGCAGAGGGAGAGAGAGAATCTTAAGCAGACTCCACACTCAGCTCAAGCCCAATGCAGAGTTCGATCTCATGACCTGAGCTGAAATTAAAAGTCGGACGCTTAACCGACTGAGCCACCCAGGCACTCCAGAATCTTACAATAATATATTTCCATTTCTTGTCTAGCCTTTACACTACTGACATAATACATTTTAATTTTACATATGTTAACCTGAATCCTTTTAAACTTGAGACCTGTTTTATGGCCCAGAATATGGTCTATTTTGGTAAATGTTCTCAGTGCACAAACCCGCAATACATTATCATTTTTTTAACCACAATTATTTTGTTAAAAGATGTAACTAATAAGAAAAAAAAGTATATACTTAGGTAGTTACCATTGCCAGAGCTCTTCATTCCTTTGGGATTGAAGGATAGGTCCATATTTTTACTTGGTACCATTTTCTTTTTGCCTGAAGAAATTCCTTTAACATTTTTTGTAGTGCAAGTCTGCTAGTGATGAATTCTTTCAGTTTTTATATATCTGAAGATGTCATTTCACCTTTGTTTTTGAAAGATATTTTTTATGAAGTTTTCATTTGAATTCCAGTATAGTTAACATACAGTGTTATGTTAGTTTCAGGTGTACAATATAGTGATTCAACACTTCCATACATCACCCAGTGAGCATCATGACAGGTGCACTCCTTAATCCCCAGCACCTGTTTCACCCATCCCCCCCCCACCTCCCCTCTGGTAACAACCTGTTTGTTCTCTATAGTTAAGAGTCTGTTTCTTGCCTTCTCTCTCTCTCTGAGTCTCTTTTTTCCTTTGCCCATTTTTTTTGTTTCTCAAATTCCACATGAGTGAAACATTGTATTTGTCTTTCTCTGACTTACTTTGCTTAGCATTATAGTCTCTAGCTCCATCCATGTTGTTGCAAATGGCAAGATTTCATCCTTTTTTATGGCTGAAAAATACTCCATTGTATATTTATACCACATCTTCTTTATCCATTCATCTATCAGTGGACCCTTGGGCTGCTTCCATAATTTGGCTATTGTATGTTTTTGAAAGATAGTTTTGCCTAATGTTCTACATTGGGAGGTTTTCTTTCAATACTTTAAAGATATTATTTCACTGTCTTCTTACATGGGTTGTTTGGGGTGAAAATCTGATGTCATTCTTTTTTTTTTTTTTTAAAGATTTTATTTATTTATTTGACAGAGAAAGAGCACAAGTAGGCAGAGTGGCAGGCAGAGGGAGAGGGAGAAGCAAGCTCTCTGCTGAGCAGGTAGCCGAACGTGGGGCTCGATCCCAGGACCCCAGGATCATGACCTGGGCCGAAGGCAGCTGCTTAACCAACTGAGCCACCCAGGCGCCCCAATCTGATGTCATTCTTAACTTTGTTCCTCTGTACCTTACATCTTTTAAGATTTCCTCTTTATTACTCATTTTAAGCAATTTGATTATAATGTGCCTTCATATAGTTTTTTTTTCCATGTTTCTTGTGCTTGGGGTTTATTGTGTTTCCTGGATCTGTGGGTTTATAGTCTTCATTACGTTTGGAAAACTTTCAGTCATTATTTTTTCAAATATTTTTGTCCCCTCTTCTTTTTCTTCTGGGTCTCTAATTACCCATATATTAGGCCATTTGAAATTGTCCCACAATTCACTGGTGCTCTTGTAATTTTTTTTTTTTTTTAAGATTCTTTTTTGTCTCTTTCATTTTGGATAACTTCTATTCAAATGCCTTCATGTTCACATATCTTTTTTTCTGCAGTATCTAATCTGCCATTAATCTCATCCAGTGTATTTTTCATCTTGGACATTGTAGATTTCATGTCAGAAATTCAATTTGAGGCTTTTTTATACCTTCCTTGTCTCTCAACTTTTTGAGCATAAGGAATCCAATTATAACTGTTTTAATGTCCTCCTTAGGCCCTACATCTTTCAGTTCTGGGTCAGTTTCAGTTGATTAGAGACTGTGTTTTCCTGCCTCTTTGCATGTCTAAGTATTTATGGATCCATTTTTTTAACGGGTGCCACACATTATGAATGTTATCTTATTGAGAGCTGGATAGCTGCATTCCTATAAATCTTGGGCTTTGTTCTGTAATGAATTTACATTACTTGTCAATAATGTGATCTTCCTAAGTGTTGCTTTTATGATTTGTTAGTTAGGTCCAGAGCAGAGGGACACAAAGATGAGCAAGGCATTAGTGAAAGTGCATACATAAGCCCAGGCACTAACCAAAACCACAGGGCAAGGGGACAGTCAAAACTTGATCAGGGTGGCAGAGTGCAGCCTCAGCTCTGCCCTGTGTCTCCCCTTCCTGAGGTTGCAGCAGCATGAAGAGAGCAGGGAGGGCTGGAGTATTCCCTGGCTAGGCCTGGGGTACCCTCACGGGATCTGAAACCTTATCCCAGGAGCAAACCAGCTTCAAACACAGACATGGAACAGATGCTGGCACAGGGCTGTCCAGGAAGAGGGCCCACCTGTCATTCCCTTCTCCTTCACCCTTGCTGATCACACCAAGGCCCCAGGAAGTCATCACACTGCTCAGGGCCTCAGCTTACTCATTTGTAAATTGGGGTCACCCCACCTGACCTGCCTAGCTCAGAATGGTGTTCTGTCCTGGGATTAAGGGAGGTAAAAACATGCTGAGTTTCTGACACTGAGACCCCAGTCCTGTCTACGCACTGGCTTAGCCAGTTGACCACTAAGCCCACTCCTACAGGGCCCTCAAGATATGTGGTCAGAAGCTGTGAGGATGAGGACAGAGGTTGGATGTGTGGGCAGCCAAGGCGATCTGGATTCTAAAACCTATCATTTGATCCTAACCTGCTTGCAAGGCAGGCTCCACCAGGGAAGGTGGCCTCCTCCCTCTGCCCTCAGCTCTGATAGAAGCCTGGGATGAGGGGCGCCTGGGTGGCTCAGTTGTTGGGCGTCTGCCTTCGGCCCGGGTCATGATCCCGGGGTCCTGGGATCGAGCCCCGCATCGGGCTCCCTGCTGGGCAGGAGGCCTGCTTCTCCCTCTCCTACTCTCCTTGCTTGTGTTCCTGCTCTTGCTGTCTGTCAAATGAGTAAAATCTTAAAAAAAAAAAAAGCAGCAGCAGCGGCCTGGAATGAGTGGTCTCCTTACTCTTCAGACTCAAAAGCCTGAGAATACCAGGAATCCACCCGGAGCCTCCAGACCCGGGCATTTCTGTCATTCCTTTCCCCTTATCTCTGATTTCCTACCAGTCAGATGATGGTGTCTGAAGGCAAGAGGCCAGAGTTCCCAACTGCCCTCTGGTTCTAAGTTGGGTCATCTCTGCATCAGACCTGCCCTAATCCAACCTCTGGAAGGGCCTGAGGAAACAGGCCAGACCAGACCAAGTGGCTCAACCATGTCCGGGCCACTGGCTGTCTTTGGCAAGAATAAGGTGATACAGGTTAGCCCTCTATCTCCAGTAGCACCCAAGGACCCTGGAGAGCCTCAGCCTGGTTCAGCTCCCACAACTTTTATGTTCTTGGGTGGCTTCCATCACCTGCCAGTCTGGAGTTTTCCTAACCGTGTGTGATTTGGAGGGAGAGGTGGCAAGATCTGGGTACAAAGCTACACACACGTATTTGAGGTAACTGTAGATTCACATGCAGTTGTAAGAAATAATAGACATCCCTTGCACGCTTTGCCTAGCTTCTCGCAATGCTAACTTTTGCACAACTATAGCAGAATATCACAACCAGGATGCTGACATTGGTAAAATCCATCGATCCATCTTCAGTGTGTGCCGCTGTAATGATGAGACCTCGAAAGCTTTCGAATTTACCTACTTCTCAAGTTGCTTGTGGCCCAGGGGGACTGCACCCCGCTGCACCATCTGTGCCCCCGGGAACCGGACAGAGGTTAGCGGGGGCTTTAACAGGGCGTGGTGTGTGCCAGACTCCTTATCCACGTCATCGCTTAATCCTCACAAGAGCCTGTTTCAGACTGAGGCGCAGAGAAGGGTGGAGGGTAAGTGGGTCCCAGGCCGCATGGCTGAGCAGAGGCGAACCCAGACCTGCCTACTCTAGCTACCCTTAGAGCATAGCCCAGAGGGCCGCTTGGGCCCTAGGAGGCTTGGATGGCTCCGCAAACACTAATGGAGTCCTTGGGGGCCCCGGGCAGGGTCCCGGTAGCGGGGAGAGCAGCCAGGCGCCGCACGCCCGGACTAAACTTCGGGGCGTGGCTTGGCCCTACACCTGGGCTCCACCCCGGAGCACGAGGAAGCCCGACGGCCCGCCGCAGCCTGCAACGGGAGCTCCCCGGCGCGA